TAAAAAAACAATGATAATAAAGATGAATTTTATGTTTCCTCAATTATATTCTTACCGGAAAATTTTTTCGAGAAAAATACCTTTGAAAAAACACTAATCACATCTATAAGAACTCTCCAAGCAGCAAAAAACACCTTAATACTTAATGATAATAATTTACGAATTGAATGAAGCAAGTACTAGTTAATATTCATTTAAAATCGGTTCTCAATATTAGTTCTTTGCCCCTTTCGGTTCGTTTCCTTTCTATTTAGTTATTCAAAAGATGGATCATATCTAACAATACCCTATATTATGATTCATTAAAAGGAAGAACTCCAGTATATACGAGTCATAACTATAACAAACCAGAAGCTCCTGCTCCGATTTTCTTTCCAAATTCTACAAAACGGAAGCTCCAATATGTTGCAAAATAATAGCAGTTTAATTAAAAGGATTTGATGTAGTTGGTTCCTTTGATCTAGATCTCTATAGAAGTAGTTCTATTGATACGTTAAAAAGAAACGGACAAGATGAGATGAGATGTCTTGAACAGGTGCACTAGAATTGAAAATCCTCATTGTTAGATCGTATTCAGTGGCTTCCTAACGAATTTTCTAGGCTTGAAGAATCGTGTTATTATCGAGGTTGATTGTCTATAGTTCGTTGAAATCAAGTTCTTTCTAGCCTTTGTAAGTTTCGATCACTTGCCGCAGATTAACGATTGTAATGAGGACGGCTTGTTCAAGGGTTTCTTAATTCATGATTCCTAATTACCGTTGCTATTTCCCACAAGCTCAACAAATTGAGCATATCTTGGAACTTAAAACTCTGAAAATTTATTATAAATGGTTTCACAGAAAGTTGCCTCGTGATCCTTGTAGTTCTCCTTCAAACAGATTCTGTGTAGTTCGTGCGCTATGGTTTGATTGGATTAATTGGAGGCCAAACGAGAGCCTTAAGAATGTTATAAGCAATCAAAGGGAAAGATGTTTAGCAGCTGGAAGTCTTGGTTGCATCATTTGGAGTGGGTACAAACATCTTATTACTTTCCATGTAAATTTTGATGACTATTTGATTGAACAAAAAGCTTTATAGTATACATCGAAAAGTCTTCTAATATATGAAATGTTTGTATGAAAGCCTCACATGCTAGACTTCCTTTACAGAAAGGCAGATCTCGTTCAAGAATGCCGATGTAAACTTACAAATAGTATAGTGGCCATATCTTTAACTAATGTGCGGGCCATGAATTAAGATGGTCGATCCTGCCGCTCTGAGATCCTGACTAATAATTTATTGGTATAGGAAGTGTTTCGTATTGGCCGCAATTGCTAATAAAAAATACGAAGACCCAGTGATTTGATTATTGTGAGATAAATTTTAAAAAGGTCAGATATTTTATCCAATTTCTAATAAAAATGCGAAGGAAAAAAAAATCCTTAAAATGATTAGTTTTTCTTTGTCGAAAGCAATTATCAGAGGCCGTAGAAATATTAAGATTAGGATAGAATTGTTGAGTTTTGGCGGTGTTCCTTTTGAGGTTTGGAGATATTGCACGATGAAAATGAAAGTCTTGAACTCAAGTTTGCTCAAACAAATATTTCTTCAAACTCGGCAGACAAAATTATGACAATCTATTTACCAAAAATTGGAAGTTTCATAAAAATTATCGACTTTTAGGGGAGCAGGAGGACAAGGTTAAGCTTCTCGTTTACGGCAAACGTAAAACGTCAGTTGGCCATTAAAAATTCTTTAAAATAAGTGAAAAGGAATCGCAAAAATCTCCAAGTAGTAGATAAAAATAAGAATATGTGTCTTTGTCGGGAAGATTTGCAAAAGGTTAAGTGAATTGTATGGAAACGATGAAAACGTGGTCACGTTTGCCGTTTGCGGGAAGAAAAAACGGGAAACTTAATCTGCATAATATTGTGAAAAACACTGCTAGAAAATCCGTCCATAACGGCAAACACCACTCAAAACTATGATTTCGAACACACCTTCAAAAGCCTAAATGTTTGAGCTTTTTGAAGCAATACGAGCAGTATCCAGTGAGTTAAAAAAATCGCAAAATTCGCGAGCAATTATGTTGGAGTAAGTGTATAAAAAAGGCAGTTAGAAAGGCAATGATCTTGATCTCAAGCATTGATATTACGACTCATCACCAGTTTCATTTCGGTTAATCCCATAACAAAGTATTTGTAGAGGCTTTCTAAATCAAATATTTTGGAGTGACATTCACGAAACCATAGTAACCCATGATATTATTTAAAAGCATAGGCAACCCATTAGCTATTTAAGGATAACTTAACTGGCCCGGCGTACGGACTCAAAAGGCTCTTTCATATTTCGAAATACCGCATTAACGTAATATAAATTGCCAAAAGGGATCTATCTAAAGAAAACGCTCAGTTGAAAACATTAGCAAGGGCTCTTTATTCAGATTTCGATTATAAAGTAGTAAGACCAAATCTGACTAATTTCATAAATGAATCTTACTTTATCTAGTACTTAAGACTAACAATACTTAAGATTAACAATTATTCCTATCTGTGATTCAATTCAACTGTCAAGAGTTCCTAACGAAGATGGCCGTTTCTTTAGTCATATCTAAACGCTACGGCGCTGACCATCCAAGTAAAATCACCCTACTACTTCATTAGCTTGAAAACGCTCTATTAGATCTATGATCTTATTAAATTAGCGAATGCTGCATATATATATATATACACACACACACTTGATTGCAGAAAGGTTGTAGTATACATTTATATATATACCTAATGAGATGCAAGATATCAAATGAGAAGTATACTTTTAAAGACTAAGGATTTCGTGCAAGCACGGTACATGTTGAAGATCTCTGTTTATAGACTATTTTTTATCATAAAAATAAATACTTCATATTTTCCGGTGTTTTTGAAGTAAACTCGGGTTGACTCAAGCATCATAAGATATGCTCGTAATGTAAACACTGACGATTATACTAGACAAAAAATAGTAATATATTTGTTTGCAAATACGCGGGTAAATCAAAGAAAATGGCGCAGTTATCATGTCACCCTGTAAAGCCAAACAAAACCAAAATTGCAAGTTTGACAGGCTTAAAAATATTGGCACTGGTCTACTTCTACCGTAATACTACATGATTGATTAAGTCAAGTCAGTTGGCAATGTTTATCTGTTGCATACCGTTGTGAAGGTTCCGCCTTAATAATTAATAACGTACTCAACAGTATGGAAATTGATTCCAATAATCTGCGCAATACGAAAAAGACTTGTTCATCTTATAGTCGAGGCATCAGCTTCAAGACCTTCAAAATATAATCTCGATAAATCAAGTTTCCATCAAATTCAATATAGTACACTAAGAAAAAAAACCAGAGTTCTTGAACAGAGCTTTTATCAGGATCTTAATTATCACGTAGGATATAACACAGCTTCTTCGATATCACATTTTAGTAATAGTAGGGGCTCCTATGGAACAGAAAATCAATATTGACCGAATGCTATGAGGTTTAAGCCAATCAGAATCAAGTATCCCGCGCAGAATCAAATACTAATGCTAACGCTAATATGGATAATATCCGACAAGATTCATTTTCAGGTGTGTATCTAAACTAAGAAATTTGTTTTACAGATTGCCAACCGAGAGAGTATCTTCAAAGTCAAGGCATCGAATCGGAAACGCAGAGGCTCCAGAGAATCTCATTAGGGATTGTAGTCTTCGTGTTCAGTGGTAAGGTAGGTCAACAAATGAAAAATGGGATAGATTTTAGAGACTTAGCTTGTGCCTTGCTCAAGACTGTGATGTTGTTTATGTTTAGCGTGTTAGGAATACGTTATCAATACAGATTTGAACTTTCTCATAGTGGGAACTAAAACCTATTCAATATAACTTGACCGCATATATATATATATATWTWTTTTTTTCTTCTTTACCATCAGAAAATTGCTTATAATAACTAAATAATTATTCAAAACAACGTTTTGTAGTCTGGTTAGTAACCGGGTTTTTCTCTTGGAATTAGCTTTTGGTATTGATATTCTAATGTCATAGATCCAATATGATTTATGGAATAAGACGACTTCTACGGCTACAGCCTATAATTGTTAGTTACGATATTTGCTCATAAGTGCATCATTTATCCTGTAAAACCTTTCCTCTCAGCTTGCCTTCTGAAAACAGTCTTAATTGGAAATGATTTGGAGACCGAAGAAAATTGGAATTTATTGAGACTTCAATTGAGAAAGTAATAAAAGAACTCGAGAAATATAAACAACGAAAATCGAATTCATATCCAAACACACTGGAATAGCAAAGATAAAAAAAAATTGGGAATTTAAAAATTGAAGAAAAAAAAGTTGAACAAAATTTTGGACACTTTGAATTCTATCACCGAAGACATATTTGAACAGGTAATAATGATGAATTTATCTTGTTTGTAGGAAAGTATAAAGAAAAGTTTAAATTAATGGCAGTGTAAAGACAATAATGAAATATTTATAAGAATAAAACTTCATTAAGAATATCTGTTATTTTGTAAAGCAAATTTTGGGAATTTAAGAAAAAGAAACTTGAAAAACTCAACTCAACTTGGTGCATGTAACAAGACGATGAAAAATAACACTTTATAAAGTAAAATTTAAATTGTTCTTAATCATATTCTCGTAATAATTTACTGCGTATTTCCAAGGTGGCGTCTATTTCGTCCCTTAGAACAGTCGAACAATGCAATCTAATGCCAACTCGTCCAAATTTTGGTAAAACGTACACTTAGATTCCAAAAAAAAAAAAAAGTTTTGCAAAGGTCACATTTCTTTGAACAATTATAGCAGCCAGGGTTGCTAAGTACTTTCCTTAATCTTATATGTAAATTTGTATCTGTATAGGCATACGGTTTGATTATAAATGATATGAAGATCTTGAAACATAGTTTACTGGATATTTCACCAATAAGCTGCATCTGCTAGTGGAAATATATATAGAATTTATGATATACACTGGTATTTTACCGGCTTTCGTGTTACAATTCGTTTATTAAAAAAACAAATGTTTCAATTGCAATTGCAGTTTCAATTTAAGTAAATTGTTACCTTGATTCCTGGACAATACCATTTTGTCTGGTATACAGGACGGTCTGGAATTAAATCAACCAATCAGATGCCTTACTATTAACCCACGCATCTTTGCCATCTGCACGCAAGCTTGTTTTGAATTAAGTTATAAATATATACATATCTATATATGAGATTTATTTACTTATTATTATTTTTAAATAACATTTTGATATTCTTTCATACGTCTGTTGCACAACTTCCACTTATTTAGATACCTGTTTAATATTATCGACTTTGAATTCGAATAGACGTTCAAAAATGAGTTCCATTATTAATATAAGAAACTGCGTTGAATAGATTTGCTTAGATCGTCTCGTTAAACAGGTTCAGTTACGCAATGATTCCATCATATGTAAGAGCACTCAACATATGTACCACTCTGCATATGCCCACAGTTTCTGTGACATTAATAATATGAAAAAAATCAATATTCAGAAAATAGTATCTTTCGTTCAAAGTCTCGTTCTTCTATCTCATCTTGCTGCTAATGAGTTTGTGTAAACCCAACTGATTAATTAAGTCGCGGTTCCAATAAAAGTACATTTTTTTTCTATATAGCAATACGATTATTATTTCAATTTCCAATTTTCGAGCTTTAATTTTAGTCCCAAAAATCACACTGCATTCTTCATAGTAAATATAGTTCAGGAAATGATATAACTGCACCTCAGACATAATCAAATATATCAACTGTTCTTGGTTAAAGAAGCCGAATTCGGTATTGTGTTCATCTTATTATTGATTTCCTCGAATGACGCACTATTGGTGTTAATCAACAGACAAACAATAAGGTCAAAATTAATCGAGAAAAACAGAAACAGAAAAAGAAACCTGCTATACTATTTATCAACGTTTTGTTTGGTACTTCGCTTCGAAATGCAAATAACTTATTCCCTAGACAATAACACCAAAAATTGCAGTCTTTTAGGAGATGTAAAGATTTATTGAATCAAATATAACATTTTTCCTTAGTTAAAGAAGACTAAGAATTCGCGACTTGATACTAGCTTCACAAATAATTTCCTATGCTACTTCCACTACCCTGGGTTCGAGAGAGATTTTCCCCGCTAATTTACTGTACGCGTATTTATTGAGAGCGGCACAGTGTCTATTCTAATATCAGTCATTCCACCTATTGGTCAATCTATTATCACGTGGCATGTGATCAAAAAAAACCGCGCGGAGCCTTAGGTTTTATTTTTGTTTTTATCTATTACGACCTAATCGAGGACATTTGGCGTTTTATCTTACTGTTTTCATGAATGAATACAAATTTAAATAAGAAAATTCGCGAAGCATTATGGTAGTGGGAATCAAAAGACGCGATCATACAAATGTCCTATTAGGTAGTTAAGCAGGTCTAATATTTAGGCCATTGCAGCCAATGCACCACATTATTGACTATATATATAGACTTTTCAACACCAAATTTTCAATCGATTCCGTGCGTGGCAGAGATACAAAGCATGAGCTGTAGATATGGTCTTGGGGCCGGCTAGTCTCTCCCCTAATGCCTGTCAGATTCGTACGCACAAGGCCAGATCGGCTCTGATTTCCGTCAGGTGTGAAGTCCCGCCGTAAGACGATTCAGCCCTGCGAATGTCCCGAGGTTATGGCACATCTATTTTCAGATAGAGCGAAAAAGTTAAATAGCAAAATTGTCCAAATTAATGCAAAGTTTTTAGGTTTACGGTTTACTGAGGTCTAATGAACTTACTAATTTGTGTAAATTTTGTGCAATTTCTTGCAAAGTTTTTCACGGACATATGGTACTCACTCTGTTCACTGAGTATTACCGAAAACTCGAGCTGTGCGTTGATATGTTGCTTGTGAACAACTTCTAAAGAGAGGTTTTACTCCACTCGGTTTACTTTATCACCGTTTTCTCGCTCCAGCTATAATACTAGCTATTGGCTCGTGAGATGACATGTAGCTATAATACTAGCTATTGGCTCGTGAGATGATATGTGGCTATAATACTAGCTATTGGCTCGTGAGATGATATGTGGCTATAATACTAGCTATTGNTACTAGCTATTGGCTCGTGAGATGATATGTGGCTATAATACTAGCTATTGGCTCGTGAGATGATATGTGGCTATAATACTAGCTATTGGCTCGTGGGATGATATGTGGCTATAACACTAGCTATTGGCTCGTGGGATGATATGTGGCTATAATACTAGTATATTGGCTAGTGAGATGATATGTGGCTATAATACTAGCTATTGGCTCGTGGGATGATATGTGGCTATAATACTAGTATATTGGCTAGTGAGATGACATGTGGCTACAATCTAACTATAGCGTTGCCCAGTTCTCGTATGACAAATAAGTGCCCAACCCCACCCTCCTTGTCTTTACCAAGGGTTATTGAATGCCTCAAGTGAATTAGCCAAAAATTGCTTCAGACAACTGGCAAGCAGCTGATTGGTCTTTGTGGATTCCATATTCTATGCATCTTCCGACTCAAAGCTGGTCATACGCATTACATACAGGGGTATGGTTGGCCATTAGTAAACATATGAATTTTTTGATAAATCTAAATTTGAAAAGAGGAAAGATAAAGCTTTGCGATGAAGATAAATAAGGCTACAATTAAAAAGACAGCACTCGAAAGTGAACACTGCATCATCTACAATAAATACTGTCCTAAATGCACCATCCATATGCGGTGAACACCAAATTGAAGTTAAGATTTTGGGTTTTTTTTCTTTCCTTTGTTCTACAAATATTCAAGCACATTCCTTAGTTTAGTTACCAAGGGAACCAATAGAAACAATATGCATAAATATTGACATTGGCAATGGCAGATTCAATTAAGAGAGATGAGTGCTGGATTAATTACATCTGATGGCCGTTTCAAGTTTACGTGCCTCTTGACTTAACCACAATGATATCGAGTGTAACAAGGTCAATGAACTAAAAACGCTTTTGTGACTGTAGTGAGATGTTCATGTTTTTATGAGAAAGTCACATGAAGCGATCTTGAGTCAATTGACACTAGAAAGTAACTCATCTGTTAACAACGTGTCAAATAAATCGCACTATAATTACTATGTAGAAGTTAGCATTTATTAGTTTGATGTGCAAATTACTACTCATTATTGTCAGCACTCTATCTGTCAGTACCATCACAAAATACTCTGAAGCTTTGTTCTATTTGGATACTCGTTAGACTACGTTTAACGTCACTTAATGGTCAAGACCACATCACGTATACCACGGTATACAAGGGAACACTCGATTATAAATCCCTGAGAGAGGTTTGGTTATTTTATTGTCAGCCAACACGCAATCCAAGGTACACATTAAGACACATCTTTTTACCAGGTCTTTGTTCCAAATCTTTTTATTAAAAATTGAGTCAAGTAAAATGGACCTGGAGGTCAGTGTTGCAAATTGAAGATGAAATTAATTGTGAGTGATACTGTCTAAGTATCAGTTTGAAATGTATGTATATATATATATATATTTTTTTCCCCCTAAATTTAGAATTTGGAAAGTACTTCACGTCAGTGCAGAGCAGCCAATAGTACCAAGAGGGGGAAAAGTTTATCATCCTATCTTGTTTTTTGAATAAGAACTAGATTCTGATAGCGATTACCACAGGCTTCAGTCGTAAGGCAGATATTTTGCTTCTATCATAATTCCAGTCTTGAGGCAAAATTTGTTACATTATAATTTTGAGTATGCAAAAAGCGCCTTCAAGATGGGAACATAACGAGGAACTGGCCAAAGCAAGCCAGGAGTAATTGTACATCAGTATATAATTGACTTTGCATGAATGATGCTCAAACAGGCATTGATACGCCATGACATATTTGAATCGACCTTGTTTATTATATCAAGCCCCGAGAGTCGTGATCTTGTATTAATGAGCTCGTTGTGTACACAGATCGCTCAACGTTATTTCAGTTGTCATTGTCACATGCAATTATATCGACTGATGCACTTATGTTCTAGTCTCGTATTCAACCTTAGTTTTCAAGGTGATGTTATTCTCAATTTAAAGATGTTATCATAAGAGACTGCTTCCTATATTCGGGTTCCCCTAGAGGCACATTACTCTGTCTATAAAAATCTCCTATTTTCAGCCCAATTGCAGACTTCATTCTATTTTTGACACGAAAGATTATTTCCGCGGATTATCGTCAATGCATGAACAGTCAAATACCTAATACCGATGCAAACGAAATGTGATCCCCCACCGAGTTACTGCTGCTTCCAAGGCTCCTGAATCAGTCAAATACAGTTCATGCTGCAACCTACAAAGTGAATCCTGCAATACCGGCGGCACTTTATATGCATGTGGAAGTAGAAATGACTGTAGATTTGTTTCTTCTTAATCGTAGATAACAATCAGTGGCGTTTGGTGACTTAATGTAACTAGCAAGAAAAGACCGAGGTTAGCCTAACACGCTAGCATCATATTAAAGACACGCAAAACGCGGATAAAGATTTATACTATCAAGAGAGATAAGCTAGTTGCTACATCAAGCAGTCTTATTCAAAGGTAAGATTCGTTTATTCTTTTATCTAACACGATCAGAAGCGATTTCTTTTACATTTTACTCGACGAGTTCGCACACTGCTATTTCTCAGTAGTACGACTGTTTGTTGCATATGTCACTGATCGATCCCATGAATTTCTTAGGACTATGTCAAAGACACTTGATCAATTTGTACCTCTAGCACAAACATATAACCTTTTGTAATTATTTGGAAAAAGTTCAACATTCTCACCTTCCGACAAAAAAAAAAGAAAAAAGAAAAAAGAAAAGAAAAAAGCATCCCACAAGCCTAATATCGGTTAATCTAGAATACGAGAAAGGTATTACTCTCATGTTTGGTAGTAGTGAGACGTAGAAATAGCCACACTTCAAGGTTATCTAGTTATGATAGCGCCTTTCTTCATAGACAAAAAATACGACTTTGTTTTAGTAGATTGTTTTAGCACTAATGTACCGTGAGTGTGTACGAGGCAAAAGTATTGGATCCTATAGGACTTTTCGGTAAAATATATTGACCCTAGCGATGAGTAAGATAACCTTTGTAAGATAACCTCTTTTTCTAATTGCTTCATGAGAGAAAAGGCAACGTAGCATTTGCTTTTGCTTTTAGGCTCGTAATGTTGCACAAATAGCAGGAACTATAAGATAATTAGTCCTCGCTGCTTTGTCGGTGTGATGTTGATAAGTTATCTATCGCTAGTTATGGTTTTAGTCTGTTGAAAGGCATTAGCTGAACAGCACTTTTAATAAGCTCAAATGGAAGACTATTCACCTTATTTTATTTATCTCGTTTCTTTAAAATCCAGGCTTTGGCTAAGCTAGTTTTTCCTGAGAGATAAGGGTATAGCTAGCGCATTTGCCTCGGCTCTTTTGATGACTATCATATATATCATTCCATTTTTTGGACTAATTTTTATAGAAATTTATGAAATTCTCAATTTTCACATCAAAGTATTTTCATTTTGTTTCTCTTGATTAAAAAAAAAAATTGCCAAAATAGATTTTAAATTTTCTAATACTTTCATTGCAATATTTGTTTCAAGATCACAGAAAGGCTTGCTAACCACTTGAGCTGATACTTTCATTACGAACTGCAAGTATGCCTCCTCAGTAAGCAGTTCATTAAAAAAGGGTTGTTTGTTTGTACTGGTTTTGCGCCATATAACGAACCTATTGGATAGAAGTACTTGGAAAAAAAAATCTTGCACAACTTAGTGAATGAATATATAAGTTAAACTTAGGTCGTTATTTAAATGCGGAAGAAAACGGTTCCTAATTAGTTTTTTGAAGAATATCAAGACTGAAGAATATTTCATTCTACAATAATATTGCCTTCTTTAAAAAACAGAGATCCTTAATTCTGTTACAAACGGATTTTTCCGTTGAGAATATAAAATATATATAATAATTTCCTTTGAGAATATAAAAAATATATAATAAGATCATAAAATCAGTTGGTGTTCTAATAAGGAAGGAGTATGCACTCATCCACACACCGGCACTCGCATACATATCCCACCTTCATTAATTAATAATGATAATAATGGAACTTATATAGCGCACATATCAAAATTCATGGCGCTTCACAATAAGAAATAAAATAAATACCAGACGTATGTTACAATATTAATGAAATGTCATAGTTCATTGATGTTCACTTTGAACCAGAGGAGACAAAGTTCTTGAACAAATGAGTTTTCAGTTCATTTTTGAATAATTGGATGAAGAAGTTTTCCTAATTTGAAGTGGGAGGTCATTCCACAGTTTAGGGCCAGCAACGTAAAAAGATCTGTCACCATAGGTCACCAGACGAGATCTTTGTTCTTCTAGATACTCCATGGTTGTAGATCTGAGAGTGCGCAAATTTTTATAGCATCAGCCAGGTATGGGGAAGCCATATCATTGCAGATGCTCGATTCAAGTTACACATTCATTATTTATTTATTTCATCAAAAGTGTTTAATGTATCTGCCCAAGCAAATAGCTTTGTTATTTTCTGAATGCACTCGTGCGCAGCAGGAAAACCGCAAAGTAGATCTTTGTGCCATTTAAGAGTTTACGTAATGACTGACGTCATAGACATCTTCCATGCTATTGGCTCAGCACGACTAACATAGGTACCCCATACATAAGCTATTTCTCTGAACTCGAGTTCTTTTTAAGCTATAACAAAGGTCATTTCGGTTAATATTTTTCAAATAGATACCCCGAAAGACTCTCTTTATAAGTCTTCATGTTCATTCAAAATATTAAACATTTGACAAGCCTTTACAGATGTATTACTAACTAACCATCATGCAACGTAATTTTCATGATGGATGAAAAGACTTCACTATTGTAACATCGCGGTCACTAAACATTAAACTGCACTTAACTGCTCTAATTTAAAGCGGTAGCTTTAAGAAGATAAAAAACTGTCGAAGAACAAGTATACATTTTTATATTCCGTTCCAATTTTTAACCTTCTCATTTTGTTAAATTGCTGAGTTATTGTCTATTGTCTGTTTTTGATAGAAAAAGTTAGTTCATAATTGTTCAGTTTTAAAATTCCTGTGATTTTTGCTTTTCATCCTCGTGCAAAATTTAATACCACTGAGAATGCTTTTAGGAGGAGAGCATTTTTGTCGATTGGTTTCTTTTGCACAGCTCATTAGATGCCATCGCCCTAGGTGATAGGTGCCATTATCGTACACCAGCTGTCATAGATAAAAAATAAAATATTGGAATACATATTCATTTGCGATATTTCCGCGCGGCCTAAGGATACTCTATGAAAATATATTTAAGCCTGGAAAAAGCAGTTTGAAAATTCAACCGTTCCATAACTGACCTTGAAGAAGACATAATCTTGCTAACAAACCAGACAAGAAAGGGTAAGCTTTTTAACATCTGAAACAACTTAGCTAATGCAAGAGCTCTCAACTCAAATTGAATTTAGCGCAAGAAAACATTCTCAACATTATTAATGGCTTTCACTTAAACTTGTCCTTACGAAAAAGTCGGCTTGTATCCACCGTAGATATGAGAAAACTATTGATCTTTTTGGTGTACCCGAATTCCATTTTTTTTTACAACTTTCCGATATTTAATGTTTAATGTTTACGTTAAAAAGCGCTGGAGATCCAGGTTCTAAAAATAAATATATAACTTATCCACTAAACGTTACATCGTACAAAGGCTTGTTTTTTCCCCTGATACTTGCATGGTATCATGACTGAGGAGAAAACAAAAGACTTTTCAAACTGTTCAATTCAATATTGAAGGAGTTGAAAGCTTTCTTTAGGAGCGTAAGTCCATTCAGTTTGTTTGTTGAAGATAAAGAGGCGGAATAAGACTAAATATGAACCAAAATACAAATGAATTAACGAAGTAAAGAAGCCTTGCTAATTTCTCTAGCAACCATGGTATTTAAGATGCGTGTAATTGAATCTAGTGGATTAAAAGAAAAGTGAAAAAGGCATAGAAGCATAATATAATAATATGATTTATACCAAGAAACGTTATATGTGCCGAGGGCAACAGTTTGGCAAGTGTGGTGATAAGCTTTTATTGGAGCGCTTCTCCTTTGTGGCCGTATCTCTGACTATGTTCTTATTTATTGTAAAATACAAAGTGTTCTTACACGTACATTTATCTTTAGATATACAATACTTAAACAAAAGGCGTTTAGTTATTGCAAAAAATAATAATTGTGGGAGGGAATTCGTTTAATGTTTGGGAAGTAAAGAAAATGGGGTCTGTTCACTCATATCCCGGATGTTCAGGTGCAACTCATCATCTTCCAGTCAAAACATTATTTATTAGTTTTGTTGCTTGTGTTCAAGGCAAGTGTGGTCATATATAACATGCTATTATACGACTTTTGCTCGTTTATGAATAAATCTTTTTTTGGGTTTCATTGTCACAAGATTATGTGTGTAAATCATTGAACAACGAATCGTTGTTACCTTTTACCAACACTATATATAGACAGACATACATATGCATTTTGCAGACAGTTTAGTTCTAACTTTTCTTTTAGTGCATTTTTCAGACAGTTTAGATCTAACTTTTTTTTAAAAACGAACTCCAATGACTTAGTGTATTTTCAGACAGTATAGATCTGACTTTTTCTCATGAACTGTCACTAAGCCACCAATGTATAGTAAGCTGACAAATCGACATATATTTATATCCAATTGATATGCTTAGAGCAAATGGATAAGATAAATTGGGCCTAAATTTTGTCTAATCAAATATGTCCCTTAAGACAGTGAAAGGGTTTTTGAATCCTAGAATGTCAACATTTCATTATGCACTTTTCCTTGATATTTTTTGCTGCCAACTTTTATATATATTTTTAAGTTTCCATTTTTATAATTCAAATTTTTTCATCGCTTTTATTTTTTCAACTTTTCCCCTTTTTCTCCTTAGAATATGATGTGCTTAAGTTCATGCTATTATATATCATACTAATATACTGCTGTTTTTTTCGTTATGAATGTTTGGTTGTACTACATGGTTGTCAGCGTTTCCATAGCATCACGTCTCTTCCGTGAGACATGCGCCTTACACGGGATTCTGTTTGACTAGATAATTACTTTGGACCAGCCAGTATTCGTCTCTTATTTTTTCTTTCTAATTTCGCAAGAATTTTCAATGCAAGGTGTGTCTTTGACGGACAACCTTTAAGGGAAACTTAAAGACGTCTGTGACGTTATACACTCAACACTTAACATCACTCCATACATTTCTTTGTAATAACTTCATGTTTTACTTTATTTCCATTACGCCCAATGCAAAGGTCTCCTTAGAGACTTAACGTACATAACTTGTGGTTAGAATCATTTTATGGTATCTTTTCTGAGTATAAAACTAGCGGATATTTTCATTACGAAATACGAAGAAATGTATGGAGCGAGTTTAATGTTGGGTGTATGACGTCAAAGACTCCTACAAAAATTCGTTAAAATGCAATACTTCCCATCCGAATATCAGGAAAAAACTTTAACCAGTGATTATTAGACCTTTAAGGGTTATATGCTGTAATTAAAACTACACTTAAACTTCAGTTATCAGCAAATCTTAACAGATATCTTTGTGGTTTGTTCTTTCAGTAAATATACTTCTATTATTTTATTTTATTTTTTAAATATTCGAATTAAATCAATCTATTTCCTATCTTAGAATTTAAACATTTTCAGAAGTGATCACTAAGAGGTGACGGCAGCAATAATTCATCAATAAAAATTATTTTCAATCAAAGCAATAATTCGAAGATTAGTTCCGGATAATGGATTTTTGTAGCAAATTGAATATTAAGTATTAAATACGACCAAGAACAAAAATTATCATCTAGAATGCTTTTCTTTCAGTCAAGCAAGAAAAATACAATCAAAAATATTGATAATAATAATAATCATCATTATAATCATAATCATCATAATCATGTTTGAAACTATACAGCGCCTTTTAGTATTTTATTTTATCTTTATTTTATTTAATTTAGCATTTACCTCACATCAAATCATAGTTTAAAAAAATGAAAAATATAAACAAATTATGAGCAGATGAAAGGTAAGGGATACCGTCACAGGTTTCCCCAATTACGACGGTCCCTTAATGAAATGACATTAAATTATTGAAAATTAACTTAATTAGAGGAGAAAATTTTTTTTGCTAATGAGCGCTCGCGTCCCCCCCCCATTTGATGCAGACAGTCTATTTCAGTCATCCGTCAATGTTGTAGGTTTCTCGTAGAGCTGTTTGGTAGTAGTTAAAATACAAAAAACAAAACAAAAAAACAACAAAAAAACAACAAAAAAAATCACGTTTCTAGCTCAAAGGTCAGAGTATATCGATCTTCTCACAAATGAAAATGGATTGCGCATGTTTAAAAAGCTGCGACGATTAGGAAAATTCCACGCCCACACTGATACAAGCTTTACTTGTATGAGACAAACTATAAAATTCCAAATGCGCTTCAAAAGAAATTGTGGATTTTTTTTTTTTTTTTTACATTACGGTTTTAATTCTTCACAGCTAGAAAAATCTGAGATTTTTGGAACGCCTACACACAAATCGAGCTACTTTCCCTGAGGCAAAGTTAGTTGAGCAAAATGAATCTCGAACTGCATATTATGTTTTATCATACATCGCTTATTTGTTTTCTTCCATCCAAAAATCTTAAGAATCAATAATACAGAAATAGAATTGAAGCCCTTTGATGTGTTTCTCTTCAGTACGTTTTTGTACTTGTTTTAACAAACGCAGGCCGAGCAAATTCTCCTACGAGTAATGGAAGTTGAGCATCATTGGTTCTTAATTTACTTTGCGATTCCTTAAAGCTCTTAATTTCATGCGCGTCTATTTGACTGGTAGCCTGAAGGATACAGGGAAATTGAAGTTATGACAAATGTAAAGAACTGCTTTGGCAACTCTGATTATCTTTTTAGTTCCTACTGGAAGACTACAGGACATTTTGCCAAAGGCGCCATTGAAGGTTCTTGAATTTCGATAAGTTTTCATCTTTTTACTGTACGCGTAACAAACATTAATGGAAAATGATATATGGATTGGAGCAAGTTTTATGTGAACGCTTCTAAATTGCAGAGCCAAAATGGACGTACCATGGCCACAAATAACTCATAGTTTTTGCACTCAAAATACACTTCTAATCAGCTGTGAAAACAGATCTAAATTAATGGAACCTATGCATTTCTTGATTTAGGAATTTGCTTTTACTCAAAATAAAAATTGCAAGCTAAAGCTCTTAATATTGAATGACATGGGGCAGTCAAAACATGATCTGTAGACCCCAGGTCTGAAGTAAGTAAGAGCTTTAATTGATTATGCGTTCAATGGATTAGTGTTGCAGTTGGTGCTGACAAGATCAATGAACACATATACTGTGAATATCTACTTACGTATGGAAGGGTGTTGTTTGAAAAACTTGGAATCTTGGCTTAGTTTTCTTTCTGTGAAAGATAAGAACCGAAAAAAGGTTAAAAGGCTAAACTTCCATTTTGATCTGCGGTCGAAAGTTCAAAAAAACATGGGCTTCTGGGTTTGGGAGAAAAGCTATCACTCCCTTTCTATTGACAAAGATCTAATTTAAAAGGAGAGTAGAGAGAGAGAGAGAGAGAGAGAGAGAGAGAGAGAGAGAGAGAGGGAGGGATTTAAAAAAATATTTTGAGTACAAAAGAAGTTCAATTGTTCCATTCAAAAATAACAAAACTATGAAAATAAGAGATAAATTTCTAGTTTTTCAACGATAAAAAGTCGATTTTACTCTGAATAGAATACAGATTCTCTCTCGGGGCTATATGCTATAGTAGTAATCAAGATCCGAACCATTTGTCCGATATTTGTTTATAGCCCGTTTCGTTCCTACATATTTCCAAATTGACATTTATTTGTATCGGGAATTAAAATAAGATAAACTATAGTGGTTTCTGTTTGAAATTGGTTTTAAATGGAAGAGGAAAAAATAAATTATAGAATGACGGAAACGCGACCTAGTGCCGTTGGGCCATTTTCTCCAAATTGAAATCGAAATCCTTATTGATTTAATTGAATTTCTGATTTATTCGGATAAAAGTATGAAATCATCGTGATTATTATCATAAAACAATAGCAAAAACACACACATTATATTGAGAACAGGAATAAGGATATTTTTATCACCAAATTATCAATATTTCACTATAGCTGCTTCCTCAGTTGATATTAATCATTTCATTTTCACATTTCCAGCAATTATACTGTTTATTACCCTCGAAATTCATTAAAATAATTAATACCAGCGAATTAAGATTTTTTTTACTCATTAACGTGAACATTCACCAGTATTGAAGCTTCTTATCCCAATTGACATAATGTTATAACGAATTGCAAAGAAGATTTCACCGAACGAGAAGCTTTTTCCGTCAATGAAACTTGCGCATTAAAGTCAGACGTGTTGGTGTTAGTCAGGCGTGCTTCCATTGACATGCGTGGCAGATGTCATCTTGGTAAATTAGAGCAAAAGCGGAAACTTAAACTGCTCAATTTTTGACTGACATCCTAAATCGAGCTCCATTCGACGCAAATTGACGACATTTCACCCTGTAGAGGAAATGTCTGACATCAGATAGGAATAGAACCGAAGATGAAGTTGTCGGATTGTTTCTCCTACGTGTAGGAGAGCTCGCCCTTTTAAAAATAGATAGTTTATCTATTAATAAAAGTTCATACCTCAACAAAAATACGTGTTAATATATCTTCTCTACTTTTTTATTGAGCAAATCAGGTGCCTTTTGCGCATAGATAACTACGCTTTTACATCAGCAATATCAGTAAAAAAAAAAAAAAAAAAAAAAAAAAAAAAAAAAAAAAAACAAAAAAAAAAAAAAGAAAAACAAAAAAAATTTAAAAAGCACTGGTGACATCAGTGAAGACACATAATTTTCTTAAATGACGATGAGTCATTTTGAACCCAAATTAAAATACACTTTACATTTTAAGGTGATTTTCCATCTAAGCTCATACAGACACAATTCTAAAACACATAGACTACGATTAATCCCGAGGCTTGAAAATCATTTAATCCTTTTGATTACGATGAGGAGACATTATATTAATAGTAATACGAACTCTATCGGCTATCTAAAATACGCTGGATGTTGTCGCTAAACTATGCCCCAAAGGGTTGCGACAACGAAGCTTTGAGCTTATGAAGTAATAGTAATCACGACTCAAACAAAAATTATTTAGAGGAAATGTTTTTCAATAATGAGCAATAATGGCAAAAAGGGACAAAAACTAGACTTTCGTATGAGCTTTGATCCCAATTTTCGTTTTGGGTTAACACTGAAAACCTTTTTTAAGCAGTTAGAAACTGATGTACTATGATAAAATGGCTGTTTGAAGCGGTATTTTCAATCGTACAAAGATGTTTTGTTGCATTTGTGTTAGAATGTTGCTTTTTTATAGAAAATATATGGGAAATAAGCAAATGAAGGCCTAAATTCGATTCAAATTTTTGCTTTGGGTTAACACTTTGATTCCACTTTCATCGGTCATCTCCACTTCCAAACAAGTTAAACTTTCTGAATAACCAGATTTTAGCCTTGTACAACAGCCTTTCTTCAAGAGAATAGTTTTTGGCGCTCACTACGAAAAGAATCCTCTCTTAATATGAGATAAAACTATTGCTCTATAACAAAGTGTGAACGATCCGAAATTTGAGTGGGTCTTTGATTTTTGGCACATAGCTGGCGATTTGTGGTTCTTTAGTCTTGAATCTTACTGTACAAGCTAGTGATGATTTTTCCAAATCCATCTCTCTCTTCGTCTCCTTTCTTCTAATTCTTCTTCTCTCTCTGTCTCACCCTTTCTCTCTCTCTCAATAACAAAATTTAAATTCWAACCACTTAAAGAAACTAACAATACATATATACACTTAAACTTTTACAGATTTAAGATTTGCCATTAATTTCAATAATCAGACCTTTCACACCCTATAAGTGAATCCTTCAAAATCCTTTAAACGATTTACCAAATACACGGCTTTAAATCGAATTTATGGTATTTTACAACGCTTTTCATTATGTTCGAGGCTAGCATTAGGTAATGGTAGGTGAAGTACTTGAAACATCCTTGTCATAATATGCGTCCTTCCCATGCATATTCACCATGGAGGCACATCATTCATAGTCTCATTTGACGCTATATTTTTCACTTTTCTTATTCTTCTAACCTAAATATGTAGTTCCTGTTTAACTCCCACAAGGTTAGATAACTATATGAGGATCTTGCGATACGAACACCGCATATCTTATTTACTTTTCATCAATTTAGATCACGTTTTAGATTTCTATTTTCCATGTTTGCGTGCAGGCACCGTTTACTTCATTAAAATCCATTTAGCAATGCTTTCCAATGATCATAACAGTTCAATTAGAAAAGGCCGATTAGATGAACCATTTGTTATAACCTCCCGCGTCAACTGAATTAAAACCTAATTAGAGAGGCGATCAACAAAAAGAGCAATTAGGCCATGATTAGATCCAGCCGGGCTTATTTATAGTCCAATGCATTCGGCAGATCCATCGATCAAACATTTGTTGAATGTATGTTCGGGGTCTTATTTTACAACCTTTCATAATTATTACACTCTTTTGTTTCCTGTTTGGAGCAAAATACTTAAGACCTTTAACTAAAGCATTTGATGTCTTTTCAGGCTATCGACGGCTGTAATGAATAATTGTAGCGATGGCGCCTTCTTCTGAAAAGTCCACATAACAGTACTTAGCATGTCAGTCATGGACTTCAAAAGCTTTCCACAAGTCCTTAATTATTGAGTCCACCGGCTCTTTGGAATCCAGAATTTTTACTTGACAAGGAAAAAGAGTTTAAAGGATTTTGTATTTCACCCTGCTGTGTTATCAACAACAAAGTAAGTAGTTAAACTATTAGTGATTCACACACACAAAATAGATTTATCTTTACCCAAAAAAACCTCATTTTCAAACAAATATTGATGTTTGTTTCTTTATGAAAATGGCCAAGCTTGTATGATTGTCATCATTTTCTAATATCCTTTTCAGTATTCCATTCATTCCTTTCGTTTCCTTTCGTTTCCTTTCCTTTTCTTTCTTTTTTCTTTCCTTTCTTTTCCTTTCCTTAAACACTGATTAATCTAACATGACCATATATAATAATCATTTATGAAGTATACTTATTCAAGAATATGTTCTAAGATATTGGGTTAAAAAGTCAAGTAAATGTGCTATCATTATATGGACGATACAAATATATAGTGTTAAAAAGGAACCTTAGATAAGACTGAATAAATTACCACAAAGGAAAGTAGATAGCAACTTAGGTATTACTTGGTAGATTATTATTTAGGAATAATTGATATTGCATGTCACTTTATATAGGTTTAAATACCATTTGATTGATTAGAAAGGTAGATAACATTCAATACACTGATATTTTAGACGATTTACCATTCTATATATCTTGCCTTTCTTTACTCATTTATTTCTATCCCTTTTTCCATTTATCTTTCAGGATCTCATGGCTAACACTAGTAGTAACATCACTTCCAATAGTTCCCTGAGTACTCCAACGGTTATGGCATCTTTCAGCAAGTCTCTAAGCATCCCATCCTTCATCTTCCTTCTATTTATCCTGGTCATGTCATTGTCAGGCAACATCTTAGTAATCCTGGCTTTCAGAATCTACCGCAAGCTTCGAACAAAAACAAACTATTTTGTCATTTCTCTTGCCTGTGCAGACATTTTCGTCGCCTCTACTTCAATGCCTTTTTGGGGTGTCTATCTATTGACTGGCCCTAATTCAGTTATATCAGATACGCTTATGAAAGTGTGGACCAGTATCGATATCTTGTGTGGTGTTGCCTCAATCATCAACCTTGCAGCAATAAGTATAGAACGGTGCATTTGTATTACACGTCCGTTAACCTACCATACCATGATGACTTCAAGAAGAGCTGTATGCATCATACTTTTCAACTGGTTCCTAGCGTTTATTATGTCTTCCTTAAAATTCGCTTTATACAATTGGGAACCGCCAAAATATGAACTTCTCATCTCTATTTCCTGCTTCTTTTTACCGTTGACAATCATGTGTCTCTGCTATCATTTGATATTCAAAGCTGCGAGGTACCAAGCAAGGCAGATTGCGCTTGTTGTCAAGGGTGGTGTCAGGAATTTTCTGCTATCGACTGAAGTTCGCGCTGCCAAGACTCTAGGGGTGGTAATGGGAGCATTCATTATCAGCTGGGGACCTTTCTTTGTTATGAACTTAGTCTACGGTTTTTGTCCTAAGGGAGAAAACTGCTTAAGTTTTGAAGCAGTGATGGTTGCCAAATGGATGCACTACAGCAATTCCTTTTATAATCCTATCGTGTATGCCTGCATGAATAAGGAATTCCGATCTGCTTTTGCCAATATATTGTTCCGTGGAAGAGCATGCAGCAAAAATGGACCGTCTTGCAGAAGAGGAACTCTTACTGAATGTAATCTAACGTACTTTCATGGTAATGCTAATGGATCGTCTATGGAATCATGTCATCGACCGTAGTACGTAAATGACAAAAGTGGCCAGTCAAAACCGTCCTCAAAGGTAGCTAAAAGATTAAGCAAAAAACAACAACAAACAAACAAAACAAAAAAAAAAAAAAAAAAAAAAAAAAAAAAAAAACAAAAAAAAAAAAACCGAA